CAAGAGGAAGGGGGCCTCATGATGGGATTAGTGCTCTTACAAGAAGAGATACCAGACATCTGGCTGACTCTTCATCATGTGAAGCACAGTGAGAAGATGGCCATCAGCAAGCCAGTAAGTAGGTTCTCACCAGAAACAATCTGTCAGCACGGTGATCTTGGACTTCTAGCCTACAGAACTGTGAGAATAAATGTCTGATGTTTAAACCAGCCAACTGTGGTATTTTGTTTTGGCTGCCCAAGCAGACAAGACATAGAACTACTGCAGTTCATTCCGGCAAGAATACAAATAGATTTTCTCCAAACATCACAGCCCAACCAAAATGCAGAGGACACAAGGTGACAAGGAAATCAGCATTCTAGTTTTGACTCTCCAACTAACATAATGTGTGAGTTTAGGCAAGACTTCACTTTCTGGTTTTTATTGTCCTCAGTTGTAAAATGAGGTGTTGAACTGAAATATTTTGAGTCCCTTCTTTCTCTTAGGTGATCAAACTTCCCTTCTTTTTATTGTTGGTTTAGTTGTAATGGTTAAACAGTCTAACCAATTAGAGACTGAACATTTCTAATTCTCTATTTCTGGAGAATTCTCATCTATGAGTTTTATGCAAGGACTTCAAGAACAAATTTTCCTCAACTGGGACTGACTGGAACAGGCTCCCTGGGCTTCAGAGCAAAATTGAGTGGTTAATACATTAAGTGCCTTAGGGCAAGTTTCATTGCCAGTCAACTTGTGTCAGGTTTTGAAGAATTAAAGCACCAGGGCTAGTTCAGTGACACCTGTTGTCCCTCCTGTGATTTAGAACTATTTGTGGTGAGCTTGTGCCAGCAACAGGTGGAGGACTCAACTATCGTCACAGGTAGATGGGCAAACCAATTAGGTAGTGCAAAATCATTAGTGTGTGTGATTATTTAGGCTCCCCCTTGAACAGCTGGCTATGAAAGAGATAGATGGACACTAGAGGGGTCTGGTTGTCTGGGTAGGTGGAAGAAGGTGGGGATGTTTCATGGAATTTCACAGTCCTCTTGGCAGACGTAACTGCAGTCATTAGACTGATCTCATCCATCTTGATGCTATTTCTCTCAGCAAGCAATAACCTCAGCTTTCCATGGCTTGTGGTTTCTGTAAGCTGGGAATGAGTTTTCTCACTCTGGGTGAGGGTGTCCAATTGAAAGCAGGAAAAAAATTTAGCCCATAAAGGCATTTTGTCATCTGGGAGTGGCCATATTTTGGGAGAGTCCCATGGATAAAGGTCACTTTGGACAACAGCATGAGCCAGAAGAGTGGTGAGTCAGTCAGGCGTTCTTATAACCAGCACTTATTAAGCATTTGCTGTGTACCAGGCTGTGTACCAAGTGTTTCAGATACTGGAGATGAACAGCTGTGTTTCTTAGAAATTCACATTATTAGCAAACGAGATAAAAATATAAGCTCTTAGACTAAATCGCAAGGCATTGCAGACATTAAACCACTTTGGTCTATCAAAAGCCAATTTCATATTTTAACTGGGGGCTATTATGTCTTATACAAGTATAACATGCTGTGAGGACATAGAGAAGGGAGTGATCAATTTAAACATTGGGTAGTTGTCCAACAGGCTTTACTGAGGAAGTGACATTTAACTTTGGCCTAAAAGGGAGAATATGATTTTTGAAAATATCTTAAAAGGTGACTAAAAAGAAGGGAATTGCATTTATTTCATAAATGTTTGAGAAGCATCAATTATGTGCAGGATGGTGTAATATGCTTTGTACAACACTGTGCAGCCTGTATAGTTTTTGTATAGTTTCTCTCTTTGAATTTTTATTACAATTTTCATCTATAAAGGTAGATGCTCCAAAATAAATATCCAATCAATCATCTACAATTCTGAGAGGTACTTCAAAGAAGCAAAATTCACTATGAGAGAATGTCACTGGGGGTCTGGTGTGGTCTGTGAGGCCAGAACAAGCTTCAATGAAATCCTCAAGGATGAGGAAGAATTAACCAGAATCAGACGCAGGTTGTAGACAGCATTCAAGATAACAAAACCAGCATGTGTAGAGGTCCTGCAGCAGGTCAAGGGAGCAGCATTTTGCTTCTTTCAAATTTTAATAATCTGAAGAGTGTGTTTCCCTCATATTTCTAGGGGTCTGATATTCATTCACTCTCATATTCGCTGGGAGAACTGGGTTCTAAGATGTAGCCAAATCACTAACTAGGTGACTTGGGTGAAGATATTTAAGCAAGGAGACACTAATAATAAAATGATTTAAATAGATCATCCACACAGTAACTTAGAGTACTGATAGTTTTATAAATATATGTCAAAGGAAGGATTGTTCCAAGTACCTAGATTGTGGGATTGTGTTTTTATTAAATTCTCTTGTAGATCCTGATTGGAATGGACTACCTTTGGTTACTTAGCTTGACTTGGCAGTGGAAAGAATTTTCAGGAATACTTGTGGTCTCAGAGTTTGCTTTGGCCTGATGATATTATTAGTGTTCCTATGTTTTTCTCCATCATTCCCTTCCCTTCCCCTGAAATCTAACAGTCATCTGAGTGTCTTCTTAGGGATAACGTGTGTTGACTATTTGTCCTCCAAAATACTTTTGGAAAACTTTGCTGATCCAAGAAACCCAGGCTGATTAGACTCACCTGTGAAAGAGGGACCCCCATCTTCACATGGGCTTAGCAAGGTCAGGGAGGGTAAGGTCATGGTGAAGTGCTACCAGGTTTTGGGACCTGAGCAGGGTGACTTTAAACCACATCTTGAAAAGTAAGTACAGTTGAGATTGGGCAAAGTCCATCACAAGTTAGCTTTGGGTTGCTAAGGTCCATGAGGAGAGGTCTTAAAATGAGTCATAATAAATAAGCAATTAACCTCGATAAGCAAGCTATTTTATTGGGTCACAATCTTATCTTCAACAAACATTCCCTAGAGAAAATTGTTAAGTATTTTTTCCTAGACATGGTGGTGGTTATCCCCAAAGCAGGAAACTATAATTGGTCCCAGAATTGTTTAGCACAGGTGAGAGAAAGTATGTCAGTTTCAATTCTCAGAGATTATCCTCTCAGCTAAAGGGTACACATTGATCTGTGTAGAAGAAAAACGAAGAAAATGGAAAATGAATAAAAATCAAAGCATAACAAGTAATTAAGGATATTATTTTCCCAAGTTTTTTAGAATTTTTAGTCTCTTTCAGAGTCTTGCTGATTCGCCTAAGGATTTAAGCTCAAGAAACTCTGGAGAGTACAGGCGGTCGGCCTGTTGGGAGCTCTTCCCTGAGCACATATCAGTTACACAGGGTGTGGGAACAGGCACTTCGAAGTGTCTCCCCCTTCGGACCTGGGTGGTCACTTGGGGAAGGCTCAGTATGTTGGTGAAGGTGTTGTTACAGACTCCAGATGAGTGAGGGTGCTCAGGATTGCTGCCAGGTCCTGGCTGAGACAGACCTGGGTGGGTGGCTGGGAGACATGAAGGGAGTGATGAGGACACTGACAGACTGGGGGGCTGGTGCTACCTGAATACCTCCATGCCTCTCTCATGTCCTCTGTTTTGCACCAAGCGCAGGAATAGCGGTGAGCAGCATGTCAGCAGTTTCTGCCTCATGAGTCCTACCAACTAGGGGCTAGAGTCAAGTCAATAGAAAATGACAATGTGGGTAAAGGAATTTGTTAAAGAATAGATGGTAGGGACTTATTGGAATAACATTTGACACAAGTTTGAGGGCTAATGGGGATGGGGATGGTAAGAGTAAGTGATCCAAAGATGAGTAGGAATTCGTCTGACAAGGAAGCGAGGTATAGATAGCATGTGCAAAGGCCATGAAGTCTGAAAACTATCCTGACATGAACTTCCTATAAGGCTGCATGGTGTGTGACCTTAGGCCAGCCATGTAATCTCTCTGGGGCTCAGCTATCCCATCTGGAGTTTAAAAGTTTGAATAATGTATCTACATGGTCAGAGTGGTCAATATTCAGTAACAGATCTACAACTAGAGAAATGGTCTTCAAATATTTTTGCTCATATATCTATAGATAATTTTTAAATATTTAATATTTTAAAATATATTTTAAGGTAACCTTTACAATTTATGATGATCCATAAACAAACTCTTTAACAGGTGGGAATTTTACAGTGGTCTATTTCCTTCTTGAATTTGTGTTTCCATGCTACTTCCCAGGCATAATTGTATTCTAATATATGCGTGAGTATGTACACACACACACACACACACACACACACACACATGCAAACGTACATAAAGTTTTGGCTTAAGTCTTACATTGCCTACTCTTTCATAACATCTCTGCTACAAAAAATATGTGTATAGGTTGAAAGTTGTCTTCTAAGATTTCTATGACCATAAGACTCAATGTTTCAAAAACTTCTTATGAGTGCCCAAGTGCGGTGGCGCATGCCTGTAATCCCAATGGCTGGGAAGGCTGAGGCAGAAGGATTATGAGTTCAAGCCAGCCTCAGCAAAAGAGAGGCGCTAAGCAACTCAGTGAGACCCTGTCTCTAAGTGAAATACAAAATAGGGCTTGGGATGTGGCTCAGTGGTCAAGTGCCCCTGAGTTCAATCCCTGGTACCGTCCCCCCTCCCCCCAAAAAAAACTTCTTATGAAGAGTTATTATTACAATTTAGCCACAGTACTTAATTGGTTAAAACAGCCTAAATATATCAAAGGAAAATTTTAATGGAAATAGATCATTTAATGGGCTAAATGTTACTAATTCTGTATCTTAAAAGAAAAACACCATTGATTATATATGGATGATTATTTACTGGTAGAATAAAATAGGGTTTGGCATAAAATACTTTGCTATTTTTAATTTTTATAGTTGGTAAGTTTTGAGAAATCTTGTTTATATAAATAGATAGGAATGGAGGGAAATTGGAATTCATAGTTATTAGATTCTTAACTTTGTCTGAGTTGTTTGGAAAAAGGATTAGTAATTTGTAATCAAAAGATCTTTCTGTGATTTTGATAAAAGTGACCCATTGAAAGCCAATTGAATTTCCAAAGAAAATTTATTTCCTGGTGATAGAGTTGCTTTCTCAGTTTGGGGGAACAATGCCAGAGAGGTTTTCATGAAGGCTGATTAGGATTATTATTCATGTTCCTCTTTTACTTAGACTTCTTGTTTACCCAGATATATTCTGGAAAAGATTGGGAAACAGGAAATATTAATTTCAACACACTTTTACAAACATGATATTTTTAAATAGTAGCCATTTTTTATCATGCACTTTACTATGTATTTGTCAAAACTTTTCATTGGCAGATTTAACTCATCATGGACAGGATCCACCACGTAACCAAATAGCAGAGCCTCTTCAGGTAAATCAAGCAGATCAGACAATTCCTGTTAGAAAAAAAATCTGGCTTCAGTTTTTAAAAAAATTATCTTTTAAAAAATTATCTGTTCTAATTTGTTATACATGACAGTAGAATGCATTTTGACACATTATACACAAATGGAGCACATCTTAATGAAGTTCTCTGGCTGTTCCTCTGGCTGAACATGGTGCGGAATCACACTGGTCCTGTAATCATACATGTATATAGAGTAATAATGTCTGTCTCATTCCACCATCCTTTCTATCTCCACACCTCACTCCCCTCTGCCCAATCCAAAGTTCCTTCATTTTTCCCTACCAACCACCATTAAGGATGAGCATCCACTTATCAGAGAAAACATTTGGCTTTTGATTTTTTAGGATTGGCTTATTTCACTTAGCATGTTATTCTCCAGCTCTATCCATTTACCTGTAAATGCTATAATTTCATTCTTCTTTAAGGCTGATTAATATTTCATTGTGTATATATATACACCATGTTCCACATTTTCTTCATTAATTCATCTGTTAAAGGGCACCTAGATTGGTTCAATAGTTTGGCTATTGTGAATTGAGCTGCTATAAACATTGACATGACTGCATTGCTGTAGTATGCTGATTTTAAGTCCTTTGGGTACCGACTGAGGAGTGGGATAGCTGGGTTAAATGGTGATTCCTTTCCAGTTTTCTGAGGAATCTCCATACCACTTTCCATAATGTTTGTACCAGTTTGCAGGCCCACCAGCAATGTATGAGTGTACCATTTCCCCCACATCCTTGCGAACATTTATTGTTGTTTATATTCTTGATAATTGCCATTCTGACTGGAGTGAGATGAAAATATTAGAGTAATTTGGATTTGCATTTCTCTAATTGCTAAAGATGTTGAACATTTTTTCATATATTTGTTGGTCAATTGTATTTCTTCTATGAGGTTTCTGTTCAGTTCTTTGGCCCATTTATTCATTGGGTTTTTTGGTTTTGAGTGTGTGTGTTAAGTTTTTTATTTCTTTATATGTCCTGGAGATTAATATTTTTTCTGAGGTACATGTGGTAAAGATTTTCTCCCATTCTGTGGGCTCTCTGCCCACATTCTTGATTGGTTCCTTTGCTGAGAAGAAGCTTTTTAGTTTGAATCCATCCCATTTATTGAATCTTTATTTTTGTTTTTGCACTTTAGGAGTCTTGTTATTTTTAAAACTAACCACATGTACTTGTATCCCTGTGACAATCATCTCATATTTGAATCTAGATTCTAAATAAAGCATCAACAGCCTTCATCTGAACTTGTCACCTGGATGCAGTCTGGCACCTCCCCCTTCAATATTTCCTGAGGACATTTTCCTTATGCCCTAGTCAGGGGACTCCCCTTTAGGAGAGATGTGTTCACAGTCGGAGCACCCTGGTAACGTTCAGAGTATGTGACAGACAACCAGAAAAGAAACCAAAAACAACAAAAGAGAGTTGTTGAGGAGAGTTGAGAATTATGAATTATAGAGATAGGTATATTCTTAAGGAGAAATAATATACATCTAAGTTGGGAATCTGGAAATAAATTCCCTTAAAACTGTCAATGCCTGAATAATGCCTGGAAACAAATTTCATGTAATCTGTTTAAAGATTTAAAAAACAATTTTCACTTGGAAATTTAGCCACCGAATACTTGAGTCATTCTGCATATAGATTGCAAAATTCATTTATCTTTCAAGCTCATGGTCCTCACTCCTCTCCTCTTAGAAGAGCATATACATTTTGCCCAGAGTATCCTGCAGCCAAGAAGCCAAAGCCCAGGCCCACATTTCCACTTCCCTCACAGCTTTCCTCACCTGAACTGCAAGGACTTCCAAACATGGCGAACTTGGCCTCAGGGTCAGTCCTTTGGGGGAGTGAGTAAGGATAATTGAGCTTCAGGCTGTCTCCTTGACAACATAACAAATGGTGTATTTTATAGAATCATAGTTTTGCTACAGTTGAAAGAATTTCAACCTGTGCAACTCTTATGTTATAGGTATAGAAACTGAAGCCAGAGAGATGGGTGATGGATATTCCCCAAATTTCACAGCTAGTAAGTGACAGAACTAGAGCTGAGAGTCAAGGCTCCTGATTCCCCAAGGCAGGGCTATACCTGCATAATTGAAGCATTGTTTTATACTACATGGAGAAAAGACATGAATGAATTGACCATATTTTTCACTTTTCACCTAACTGCCCCAGTGTCTTTCAGACATGGTTATATGGTTCTCACCTCTGGAAAACCAGATGGTCTTATACCTTGTAGGGGTTTTTGGAGAAACCTCAGTTAAAGATGACTGGAAGCCTTTTGTGCTGTGACTGTCCTGATGATAAGTTTTTCAGAACCTTGATCACCCTTTAAGCAGCCTCAGGTTCCCAAGACTCCTACAGGATTTGGGTTGGACAAGGCTTTTAATTATTCCAAATTGCAGGTGTTTCAAAATAAAAGTTTTGAGCCAAGTCAGCTTCATCTCTGGGGCTTTTCTCATTTGATTTAGACTTTGTTCATTCCCCATTTTGCACCTGCTGGAAATTCCAGAGTGTCAAAGCAGGCCATCCATGACCAATTCCCAATTAAAGGCTCCAGTCAATTTCACTCGATTCATTGTGAAACAGCCTTCCCTGATTCTGGGATAAGCCAATATAAATATCTGTAGTCTCAGTCCATTCAGGTTGCTATAATAAAATGCCTTAAACTGGTTAATTTATAAACAGCATAAATTCAGTGCTTACAGATTTCAAGGCTAGGAAGCTTAATATCAAAGTGTTGGTGGGTTCAGTGTCTGGTGAAGGCCTTGTCTCTGCTTCCAATATGGTATCCTCACATGCCAGATGGCGGAAGGACAAAGAACCCTGGCTAGTTCCCAGAGCCCCCAAGTCTAAATCACTTCCTAAATGCACCCTCCTCTTTTAATGCTGGAGTTTAAGTTACAACATGAATTTTAGCAAGGAGAAACACAGTAATTCAAACTATAGTACCTCAGTTGATTATGTTGAGTGGGACTTCACAGATGGAGAACCATCTCTCTGTGGGTTTAGAAGACCAACCAAATGTATGCCATGTGACTTGTGCACCTATTAAAACTTTACATAACAACCAGTAAAACCTCTAAGCTTCCTTTGCTTTGAAAAAAAAAACCATTAAATTATACCAGTTAATTCAATGTATTTTTTTTAAAAAAAATACTTGTATTGAGTGGGGACTTCACAAATGGGGAGAATAACTCTCTTGCTTGAATGTCATCACTACCCATTTCTGTCTGACCTAATCCTGAGATGGGCATGCGGAAGTCAATGTAATGATACATCTGAAATTGAGTCTCCTTGAAGGGAGCAAATGAATCAAGTCTACTGGTACAGAAAAGCATAAAAATGAACAACCAGTGAGTTTAAGAAGAATAGGGAGATCATCAGTGTAATCAGAAACAGTTTTAACATCTAAATTAGAAAACTTGCTTCCTGAATTCATTGGGTAATTATGTCTCTTCATTTTAGAAATGCCTATAAATAAATGCCTTTAAAAATAAATTCAAAGAACTTTGCAGAAAAATAAGAATCTAAATGAGTATGAAACTTAATTATATAGAGTCTAAAAATATTCAGATGAAAGGAGAGTTTTAGAATTTGTCTGTAAAATGCAAAAAATGTACAATGTACATGTCATTTAGTATTGTAGTGGAGCAGAAATGTTATAATGAATGAGACACAATAATCCTGAGTGTTGTATATAACTTTATTATTTCATCAAGTGCAATTTATCATTCTATAGACAAAGAACCTGAGTCCTAAAGAGATTGCCTTGTACGTGGTTGGAAAGCTATCAAGAACAGACCCAAGGTGAAGGATCTTTAGATCTATGCCCAATCTAGAATCTTTTCTAACTTATATGCTTCCCAAACCCATCAAGTATAAGTCAACACAGTTTGACTCAACCTCCAAAATTCTAGAAAATGCTAAGGATGATGAGACTTTCTTGAAGATTTTGGCTATAGTCAGCCAACAAAAATTGCTTGAAATTGCTGAAGGAGTCAAGTGGAAGCATTTGTTTACACCAGAGATTTCAGCCCTTGTATTGGTTGGGGAGTTGCTCAGGCAGGACTTTTGGAGAGACTGGGAAGAAAGTAGGAGAGGTTTATTCAATAGGTGATGATTTAGAAAAAGGAAACCAAGGAGCCTTGTCTCTCTTTCCTCAAACTTCCAGAACCTAACATACAGTGGATGTTTACGTGGCCTCTTCAGAATCACTGACGCCTATTTGAGGGCAGAGTATTAATTGGCAAAGCATGGAGACAGCAGGCTGGTCCATCCTAGAGGAATTGCTATAAGGGCCTCTTAGAAAGAAGTGGAAGTGTACCACTTGACTTGTGCACCTATTAGAACTGTGCACAGGGTCTCAGTGGTAGAGTACTTGCCTGGCATTTGTGAGGCCCTGGGTTTGATCCTCAGCACCTCATATAAATAAATAAATAAAATGAAAGATCCATTTACGACTAAAAAATATTTTTAAAAAAACTTGGCATAATAACAGATTGATCCTCCAAGGTTTCTCTGCCTAGAAAAAAAAAGCCATTAAATACATCAGTTAATTCAATGTATTTTTTCTAAATATACTTAGAATGCTTTGTAAATAAGATATATTTCAAACTTATACCCTTAAATATTGGAGTATCTTTGTCCCCATTCTTTATTGAATTTGCCTATTTTCATAGCTTTAGACCGTTTCTATTCTAATATATATTTTCCTACCATTTTAAAAATTCCTTAATTTTCTATTCAAGTTCTCTGCCCTCCCTCTCTGTGCTTTTTTTTTTTTCTGGATTTTAAAGAACGTATTATTTGGGGAAGGGTGGAGAGGGAATGCTGAAGCGCGTTTCTTGGGTCATACTTTTCTAAGGTAAGCATTCCTTCCTCCCAGCATTCCATTCTGTCTCTGGATGTGTTGGGTGTGTGTGTCTAATATATGAAAGCTGAGGTATATTAGTTTCTGAAAAACAGTGGTATATATTTATGGTTT